CCACTGCAAAGCTTGCAGGAGTGACCTTCCAGTATCCGGTTGACCTTATGGCCCACTGCATGAGACAGACCCTCTGCACAACACTGACGGGTGGCCACAGGGTTACATAGCTCAGGGATCTAGGGTAAAACCAAATACTAAATGCTAAAAGAATGTGGTCATAAAATGAGCCCTAGTGACATTCATAGATCAGTGCCTTCCTCAGCTATCATCAGAGAATCTCCCTCAGGCAGAAAACGTGAACAACTCATAAGTGGACAAGGTACAAAGAGGGAGAGACTTTGAAGCTCTCAGTTCTAAAAGGGATGTCTCCATCAAACTCCTCCACTCGGGGCTCCAGCAAAAGAGGAGGTAGAAAGAATGTAAGAGACAGAGGGGATGGAAAACATCAAGGAATCGAGGTTTTCTAGACACAACAGGACTTGGACTTCAGACTTTCATGTTGTGCTAAAATTCTTAAAAATATGTTTTCTACTATGAGATGGCCATGAGCCAATGAAAGCAAGAGATAAACAGTTATGTCCTAAAACTGATTTGTGTGTTGGGCGGGGGAGGGTCAGTCATGTTGATAAGGAGTAGAGTTATGAGGATTAATTCAGATTGCCATCTTGACAGTATTTAAAATCACCATAGAAACAAACAAATCTTTGGAATGTCTGTGAGAGATTATTGGATTAGGTTAACTGAAGTGGAAAAACCACTTTGTGGATAGCACTGTTTCATGAACTGGAGCCCTGGACAAATTAGAGGGAGAAAGCAAGAGAGCCAGCCTTCTCGCTCTGCTTTCTGAGTGTATATGCAGTGTTCCAGGCACTGCCCACTCTGTGGCCACAATGGAATATGTCCCCTGGAAGATTAAGACAAAATAAACCGTTTCTTCCTCATGGTATTTTGTCAGAGTATTTTGTCATAGCAAGGAGACAAGTAACACAATGATCTCTGGGCAGAACAGAAAAACATCTGAAGAAAGTTCTTTTCTGATATACATAATAGTTCTTATCAACAAATGAACATAGAAAGCAGAAAAAGTTTTATATAGTTTTAACTATACAGAAGTTTCAAGAATCACGTGTAGTATTCATGCCATATAGTTTGAAGCAGTAAAGGTTTATTGTCTAAGAATAAATAAATAAATAAATAAATAAATAAATAAATAAATAAATAAATAGACCTTAGAGAAAAACATAAATCTTTATTTTAGTTACTTAATCAGTGAGAAAGACTTCTTTTTCTGATTATTTTCTTTCACCCATTTGTCTTCTAAAGCCTTTCTTTTTCCACATTTCATAACTTTGCAAGTATCTGGGAGCAGTTTTCACATCTCTATTAGTTATATTTCATACAGTGAAATGTTCCACATCCCTTCATGCATTTCGTATGAAAGAAATTATCAAGGACACTTTTTTAGAGTGTCAAGACATACTTCTCCAGCTTCCAGCTGACCCAAAGAAAATAGAGTGCCTTTATTAGCACTTTGTTTTGGCAATGATTTTGACAATACACTCAAGGTCTTGTATTAGCTTCTCTGCCAACCATACAAATCTGATAATCAAAAGTACAAAGCACAGAGAATACAAGGCTGGAGAAGACACTAAGCACTATCAGCACAATTTTTCTGTAAATATAAACTGTCCAAAACATAAAAGACATCAAGTAAAATTAAATTATGTAACTACTAGTACAATATGTAGCTTGAAATACCATTTCTTCAGAAGGTAGTTTTCTCAACTATTGTCTCCTAAGGCTTATAGCAATTTATTTGTAACATTAGTTACATTACAGTTCTCTGGCCTCAGTCCATTACTTGATTCTAGCAATTTTATTGACACCATAAAAAAATAACAAATATTTTCGAGAATAAATTTGGTTAAAATTTTAATAAATATTTAGAAATTAATTATTTATTTTCTGAAAGTTAAAAATAATAATGGCTCAAATAAAACAGGTTATTTCTGTTTAAGAGTTTTAAACTCTATGATATGTAAAATTTTAGGAGAGAGATGGCTCAGAGGTGTTAAGAGCACTGGCTGTTCTTCCAGAGGTCCTGAGTTCAAGTCCCAGCAACCATATGGTGGCTCACAACCATCTATAATGAGATCTGGTGCCCTTCGCTGGCATGCAGGCACACACGCAGGCAGAACACTGGATACATAATAAAGAAATCTTTTTAAAAAAAATAAGTTCTGAGCTATTTCACAAATATAAATATCTCTAAAGTAATTTTGAATATATATATACATATATACAAGAAATCCTTAAGAGTAACATTTGACAGAAAATGATTTAAATTTTGTTTTATCTCTTTGTTGATCCTAATGTTTAAGTAAATGAATAGTCATTGAAGAATTGTAATATTTTAGTGCTATTTAATAGTGAACACTGTATGAGTTTTGAAGCAACTTTGAAATACTTACCTCAGATAAGTGTTTGTACATAAGACACACATGATATCACCAACAGTCTGTGAACAGAATCAGCCAATGAGACTTCTCTATGACATGCTGAGGCATACTAAAACTCTGGCTTGCTGACATAGACCACCCACACCACACAGAAGGCTCTTTCACTTTGCCTTGTTTTGCTCATTTGTTTTTGTTTCTTTGAATATAAATGTCTCACTGGCCTAGGTTGGCCTGGAACTAATGATCATAATGCCTCAGCCTCCATGCCCTGAGATGACAGGTCTGTATCGTCAAAATGAACTTAGTTAATGTTATATTAAAACCTCTGCAGTAGTTGCTCCAGGCTTTTAATTGTAAATTTAAGATTGTAACTTTCTGATATATATTCAATAAAATGCAGTGAAAAGCTTTCATAATGTGAAAAGCTACTTACTAGTGCTGAAACTGTATCTTTTTCCCAGATGGGGGTGGGGGTATGGGAAGAAGGCAACCTCCTCAGAAACTATTTAGAGAGGTTTAGCCTCTGGCTCACTTTCTTCTTTGGGCTCTCCCTCTCCCTCCTCTTCCCTTCTCATCTGTATTCCTGTTTTACTCAAAGCTATAGACAATTCTTAAGCAAGTTATTGATATATGTTTTCTTGACTACTCTTCAACCCAAGATAGCTGCTACAAGAGGATTGTCCGTTTTCACAAGAATGTACCAGATAATGGAGAGGGAAGAAGAAAAAGAAAAGAAGAAAGGAAATGTGCAAAAAAAAGCTGGCCCAGAAAGGCTTTACACACAAACCAAAATAATCAATGAATACTTAAAAAGGCATACTTCATAGAATGACATCTTATAACCCAGATAAGCATGTTAATGTATATCTTAATAGTTAATTGAGGCTTTACTTGAAAATGAAATATAAGTTTAGAAATATTAATTTCACATATTAATTCAGGAGCATACTTCATAGAAAATTATCACAAATTCAAGGAAAAAGTAAATGATATTAATTTAATATGTATCAAGTAATAGAAATGAAATTTTAGTCACATGTTCAAATAGACAAGTTGAGGTTATCAAAAAATCAATTTTCAGAATATAATATTTTTTAATATTTATACTTTCTCAATAGAGTCATATTACATATGCCATCCTTATTCTGTGTGTTTACTTTATATAAGTGAAAATCTAAATGAACATCAGTTATATCTATGAAGCAAAAAAAAAAAAAAGTCATATAGGACCAAGAAAGACTGAAGAGTTGACAAGGAAGCAGGAGGGAGTAGAGCTTTAGTGACTGTGTGTGTGTGTGTGTGTGTGTGTGTGTGTGTGTGTGTGTGTGTGCATAGACATGTGTTTATGTACACACTTACTAGTTCAGTTTAGTCTATGAAGTGTTTGAATTCTAAAAAGAATATTTGTGAGTATCTGTGTTTAATTAAAAAAAAAGAGTAGATATAGTTATCCTTTGCTACAGCGATGGCTCTCCACTCCACAGTTACTCATTGCGTACTCCCTAAGCTTAAACTGAGCCTGGCAAGAATGCATAGTTTACATTGATGGAGTACAAACAGGAAAGGTAAAATATCTCAGCTTTGAGCTCGGGTGAATTAGGGCACAGGAGAACAATAGCCTTGTTTTCATCTAGCCCATTCCCCCTCCTCAATTCTGTCCTAACTGCCCAGAGGGAGGAGCCAGGTCAGGTGTAAAGGACAAAAGTGCAGAACTGGAATGTGGTGCCTTCTTTATTTATGGACTAGTCATACTCTAAGCTGAGACTCAGAAACAGAAAATAGGACATAGGAACTACGTGGAGAAGACATGAATTTCAGTATAGTCAACTCTACAACTGGACCACAACTGAAATTGTGGGAGGAACCATATTATATCCATTTGCTGAGTAGTATAAAATAAATATATATTGACTTAAGGTACTACTAACAATATAAACAAAGATGGCTCAAAACTTCTAAAAGTACCTTGAGGATTTCTGTCACTAAAGTCTTAAGTCATGAAAATATGCTTGAAAGTTTAAAGATTGTTTTTCATCAAGATATGTTCTTCTGTTATAAAAATAGTATATATGTAAGAGGAGCTTTTTTTTTTAGTGGCTGTGCAAATTTCTCCTGAGCATAGCTACTCAAAATAGATGAAGACTTCTTTGTGTTTTACACTTGTCACTCTACTCTTCACTCATGGCACACACCATTGTTTTTACTGTCCACTACTTGCACAGCATTTCACACCCCACTCCAGGGACTGCCCAAGAGTTGCCATGTTTTGCTTATCTGTCATACCCCCAAATCAATGTAATTCTTCATATATAGTCAGTGATTGGAAAAAAATCACCTCTGAAAGAATGGGAAAAATATCTTTAAAAATGTGATTACAAAGAATAGTAGCAGATAAGGACAGAAATAAATAGATTTAGCTAGATAAAATAACTCTTTCTGGAAGGAAGGAAGGAAGGAGGGAAGGAAGGAAGGAAGGAAGGAAGGAAGGAAGGAAGGAAGGAAGGAAGGAATTTGAGCAACTAGCATTAATCTACTACAGTTCTTATCTTGAGGCCACAGAAAGTTATAAATCTTTACATACCTTTTTAAAGATAAAATAAGTAATCACCATAACAAGTGGAAGCAATAATGTTTTTGTGTATCTCAGTGGAGTCTGAAATATAGCAAATTATTCAAAATGGTTAATTACAAAATTTTATATTGAAGCAGTAAATATCTATCAAACTACATCCCAAACAATATTATTTGCTAAAAATTAAATTTCTTTGTCTTTATAAAAATACACCTTTATCAATTTCCACAGTCTAATGCAAGAATGAAATTATTAGAGTGGTTATTAAAGCATCCAACAAAGACAGCAGACTAGAGACCTAGTAAAGGGTTGGGTTTTAGAAATAAGAGGCTCTACACCAAAGGCAGGGAGAAACTTCAGAAATTCAGAAAGGTGTAAAAGAGCAATTGAGAAGGTGGTGGTTTAAATAAGAATCCTTCCTGCTCCCCACACCCCCGCTCATATACTTGAAAGCTTAGTCAACACTGGGTGCTACTATTTAAAGAATTAGGACGTGTAGGTCTATTGGAGAAAGTGTGTTATTTGGATGGGCTTTGAGGTTTCAGAAGCCCAAGCTGGGCCCAGTGTCAACCTCTCTCTTCCTGCTGCCTGCAGATTCAGATGTAGGACTCTCAGCTACATCTCCAGCACAATGTCTGCCTTTGCACTGCCATGCTTTTCACCATGTTGGCAATGAACTAAACCCCTGAAACTTTAAGCCAGCCCAAATTAAATGCTTTCTTATATAAGAGTTGCCATAGTCATGGTGTCTCTTCACAATAGAACACTAAGATAATTACCAAAACTCAACTCCAACCCTGCATCTACCAGGCAGGGAGAGGGAAAGAAAAAGTGTCATCCAAAACGAAAGTCAGATGCCTGCCAGCTGAAAGGCCCCTCTCGCTGGACTTGGTTCCCAAAGACACACTCCACCAGCCACCCACACCCATCCAACTCCACCTCACTGCCTGTGCCATAACAGCAGGGCCCCTGCCCTCAATTCCAGCAGCCCCCTGCTGGTCAGGGGCAGCAGCAGCAGCTTGAAGAACAGGTGATCCACCTTCTAGCTGATCATCCCAACTCCCCACACTCAGTTCCCAACCAACCTCACCTACCTACCACCCCATAGCCTGGTCCCTGGTTCCAACTCCAGAAGACTTGAGCTGTTCTTGTGAAGGCCACACCAGTCTGAAGAACAGACACACACTCATGAACCAAAGGCCAAACTGGTCCCCAGAAGTCTAGCCACCAACCGTCCATATTGAATCAGAGGTCAAATGATCCATCAGAAATCCAGGCCACAAAGACCAGAAGAAGAGGAAACAAAAACCAAGGAAAAAAAACACCCATTCAACAAAGACAAACTCAGAAATCAGAACCTAGACCTATAACCATCCATAAGCCAGATGCCTAAATGCTAGAACTCATTGGCACAGGAGACAACTTCCTGAACAAAACACCAACAGCACAGGCTCTAAGAGCAACAATCAATAAAGGGGACCTCATGAAACTGAAAAGCTTCTGTAAAGCAAAAGACACCGTCATCAAAACAAAACAACTGCTTACATATTGGGAAAGAATCTTCACCAACCCTTTATCTGACAGAGGACTAATATCCAGTATATACAAAGAACTAAAGAAGCTGAAAAGCAGCAAACCAAGTAATCCACTTAAAAAATGGGGAACAAAGCTAAATAGAATTCTCGACAGAGGAATATCGAATGGCAGAGAAACACTTAAAGAAATGCTCAACCTCATTAGCCATTAGGGAAATGCAAAACAAAACAACCCTGAGATTTCACCTTACACCCATCAGAATGGCCAAGATCAAAAACTCAAGTGACAACACATGATGGAGAGGTTGTGGTGAAAGGGGAACACTCCTCCATTGCTGATGGGAATGTAAACTGCTACCAACCACTTTGGAAGTCAATCTGGCGCTTTCTCAGATAATTAGGAATAGTGCTACCTCAAGACCCAGCTATACCACTCCTAGGTATATACCCAAAATTTGCTCAAGTACACAACAAGGACATCTGTTCAACCATGTTTGTAGCAGCTTTATTTGTAATAGCCAGAACTTGGAAACAACCCAGATGTCCATCAACGGAGAAATGGATACAGAAATTGTGGTATTTTTACACAATGGAATACTACTCAGCAATCAAAAAGGAGGAAATCATGAAATTTGCAGGCAAATGGTGGGATCTAGAAAAGATCATTCTGAGTGAAGTATCCCAGGAGAAAGACAAACATGGTATATACTCGCTTATATAGACCTACAAGATATGATAAACATAATTAAATCTACACACCTAAAGAAGATAATCAAGAAAGTGGACACGGGCGAAGATGATCAATCCTCATTTAGAAAGACAAATGGGATGTGCACTGAACGTATGACAGGAGTCTACCGCAAAAGGCATCTGAAAGATTACCTAGCAGTGTTTCAAAGCAGACACTAAGACTCATAACCAAACCCTTGGCAGAGTGCAGGGAATCATATGAAAGAAGGGGAGTTAGTATGATATGGAAAGAATAGGAGCTCTACAAGGACCAAATATATCCGGGCACAGGATCTTTTGTGAGACTGACATTCAGCCAAGGACCATCTATGGATATAACCTAGAATTTCTGCTCAGGTGTGGCCCGTGGTAGCTCAGTAACCAAGCAGTTTTCCAAAGTAAGGGGAACAAGGACTATTTCTAACAGGATCTCAAGGGCAGGCTCTTTGACCTCCCCCCCCCCCCAGGAAAGGAGCAGTCCTGTTAGGCCACAGAGGAGGGCTTTGCAGCCAGCCCTGAAGATATTTGATAAAACAGGGTCAAATGAAAGGGGAGGATCAGTGGACTTGGAAAGGGGCAGGGAGGAGACCAGGGAGGGAGTGTGGGGTTGAGGAGGGAATGAGGGAGCAGGGACACAGCTGGGACACAGAGTTAACAAAATGTAACTAAAAAGAAAAATAAAATTAAAAAAAAAACATTTCAAGAAGAAAAGTTTAATCTTGAACAAACTGAGCTGCCAGAGGAACAGCTTGAGTTATGAGATTACCACCAGTAACTTTCCCAATAGCTGCCAAAAGCCTTAGATATCAAAATGCTCAGTGATTCAACTGCTGTAAATTCAGTCATTTGAGGGGTGCTGGAGACATGGCTCAGAGGTTGAGAGCACTGACTGTTCTTCCAAAGGTCCTGAGTTCAGTTCCCAGAAACCACATGGTGGTTCATAACCATCTATAATGGTTAATGAGATCTGGTGCCCTCTTCTGGCATGCAGGCAGAAAACTGTATAAATAATAAATAAATCTTAAAAAGCAAAAAAAAAAAAAAAAAAAAAAAAAGAACAAAATCAACAACAGTGAGGGCACTATGCCACTACCAGAGCCCAGCTACCATATGACAGCAAGATCTGACTATTTCAATGTAGTTGAAGCAAAACAAACAACAACAAAAAACTTACAACCAACTTCATGAAGATGATAGGGGACCTTAAAGAAGAAACAAAAAAGTCTCTTGAAGAAATCAAGATGGCTCAACGGTTAAGAGTACTGTCTATTCTTCCTAGAGGTCCTTATTTCAATTCCCAGCAACCACATAGTGGCTCACAACAATCTATACTGGGATCTGATGCCCTCTTCTGGAATGCAGGTGTACATGCAGATAAAACACTTGCTCTCATGTGAAAGAAAAGGAAAGAAAAGAAAAGAAAAGAAGGAAAGGAAAGGAAAGGAAAGGAAAGGAAAGGAAAGGAAAGGAAA